ATTTTCTGTTAATTTACCGTATCTACTGTGTTTAAGGGCTTCATTCAACTTGTGGATAAACTCACCAAAACAATATTTATACAAATCCCCACTCGTAATGAATTTGAATAATAATAATAATAATAATAATAATAATAATAATAATAATAATAATAATAATATGTCGGTTTTATATAGCGCTTCATGCATAAAGCCCCTAAGTATTTATAGCATAACACTTTCTAAATTAAAGCATTATCCATGTATTTGTTTAAATTCAATTCAAGATCTGGATATTGGAATTTGGATAAATTAATATGTTTGTCCCATATGGTTTAAAAATAAATCTTATATATGTGGCCTACCATCAACTTTAGAGTTTCCTATTTTGTTTTAAAAAAATATATTAATAAATTAGAATATAACAAAACAACTTACTAGAACATCTAACAATGGCTGGTTTTCTTGGAAGCTTTTTGCAAATTCAAAAATGTGATTTGGTTTTGACATATCAAGGATGTGGAGATAGATGTTCTAAGAAATAAAAATAAAGTTAGCTAATTAGTCCTAGTTCAGTAATTCAGACTGAGCCCATGGGGCCTACAGTAGACACAGTTCAGCACCCCTTTTCGGAGTGAAATTGGAAGTAGCCCAGTCGTTAAGATGTTTGGCTTCCAATCCCACTGACTTTGGTTCAATTTATGTCAATGTGGAGTTTTTGTTAATGACTAAAAACAACTTCATTCTCCAAGCCTCAGAATGGACTTATGTAGTGCATCTTTTCGGTCTGTTTGTTGTCCTGTGAAAGGAATTGTCACCTGAGTAGGACAGTGATTATATTCTCTATTGGCAATCGTTGGCCCTCGTTCCTAAATAGTGAATAAAAAAATTCATAACAATTAGTCACCTGATTTCCTGTTTTTCGAATAACGTCATTTTTGGCTTCCTCACCCTGCTCAGGATTTCGGCAAACCATGTGTATAGTACCACCTGGGGAAAACGTTTAGAAGGCTAAATGTATGGAATTTACATTAAAAACAATAATGATGAACAAACAATGAATTAGAAAATTCCTATTATTAGTCATAATCAAATAAGAAACAAGTATATACAGTATCAGTAATTGTATCTTCTTTAGATGGCTACTTCAGAGTGATGTTATCTTTTAGTTCCAGTTAATGAGATTGATGCCTAGCCAATTGGAGACCTGCCAAACAATATTTTTCAAACACCTTTACATAATGACCATCATAATAACACCATTTATTTCTTATTAATAATTATGTTGTTATACTGTAATATTGTACAATAATTGTTAATATTGAATACATTTATCAGTTTTCTAAATATATATCTTAATCAATTATCAATATCATTGTTATCAAAATTGCTATTGTCATCTTTATCATTAATATTATACTGTTATTATTAGTATTACATACAGTAGGATGGGTCACTAACCCTTTTGCGCAAACATTTCAGCTGCAGATTTTCCTATACCACTGTTTGCGCCAGTTACCATAAAAGCCTTTTCCGACAAATCAACATCAAGGGCATTTGGGACGAAAGATTCTTCAGCTTTGTTGTATCCTTCCCTGATGAAATGCACATAAACAAATCATTGTTTTAATGATGATGATAACTTTGTTTAATGATGTATTGTGATGCTACATTTAATTATGATATTTATTAAAAGTCACCTAAAAAATCAGCCACCTAGTTTAGACTGGAACAAACCTAATATAAACCCAGTAAAGTTAATCCTGGCTTAGTCTGAACTAGGCCTAATTTTTTTCTAAAATAGTAATGAACATCTATATTTTGTTACATGTTTTCAATTTAAGTTTTTAATTTATTTTAAAATCTACTTACACGTAGCTACTATATATATGAGGATATAAAAAATACAATATCAAAAAGTTTGAGTATTGCGTACTTACTTGGTAAATTCTTTAATTCCTTTGTTAATAAATACAGCATTTCTGTAGAAAGACTCCATTGCCATTTCGTTTTCCTAATTGGTTCAGTAACAACTGTGAAGAACATGATGTAAATAATATACACCTTCTGATATTGAATGTGTGGATAATTAAGTCTCCTCATGTTTTGGAAGTTATGATGATTACATCGTTAAAAAAAATTCTTTCTCTATGATCTATTAGCTTGTTTATTGAAATACTCTTAATTCTGATGGATTGACTTGCCAAAATGTAAAACCTATACAGTTTGAGAATGTTTATGTGTAATTGAAGGTAAATTGCTGTCAACTATGGAATGCCCGATTGTATAAGCGATGGTTATTATACCCTAGTTGGACATTCAACTGTCAAACTAATTTGAGATATTTAGCAATCATTATATAACTAATATTGTTGAATCCTAATACTACATTACATTAGATGTCAGAAAATACAATCTCTAATACAATGTTGCAGCAACGGTGCAATGTTATTCAGGTAAAAGGATGTTATAAATGTATATTTACGCTTCCGAACTACAAAAAAAAATGTATTGTACACCAAACTTTAACGTTAATATAATATAATGTTATCATAACCTGCAACGTTACCTGTGATACATATAACATTTTAACAATTCATTTATTTAAAGATACACTGTCAGAATTTTGCTAAAGACCCCTTGAAAAATTAAATTAATTAACTTTTATTTGCTTATTTTTAATAGTTATTAATTGTTTTGTTTGTTTATTAGGTTTTTCCACACAGAAAATATATAATAATAACAATAGAGTAGGCCTTGATTTAAATAAACAATGTAAAACAGAGTAAAAAAATGGAGAAAATAAGTAGATAAAACTGTGTGGACGGGGACCAAAATAAGTTTGATAACAAACTTTACTGCCTGGTCATCGGCTTAAAATCAGAGTTACAAAAAGAAACATAAAAAAAGTCGTAAGCGATGAAGTAAATACATTAAAGTGGCATATTAACAATTGCATAATAAATTAGAGATATGGGTAGTCTAGGGAATGCTGCATCCAAGTATTAAGTATATTTTTTCTTTGTTATATTTATTTATTTGTTTATATTAACAATGCTTAATAAAAAGGAATATACTTACGTCGCCGTAAACAAATCAGTAAACGATACTATCGTTTACTGATTTGTAAATATGATATTTACGTACATGAAACAACGCATGCGCAGTCATACCTTAATAAACTTGCATTATCTGTCACGTAAATTTATCGATTCACGTTAAATGTACGTTAACGCGGAGTTAACTTTCACACTCCAAATCAGCATCGGCCTTTTGCTGAATGCTGTACCATGAATCCACGGTGCACGAAAATCAAATCTTCTTGATTATAGTCATGTTAAAATCCATATACAACACTTGACACAACATTTTTTCTTGTAAAAACAAATGGTTTCTACACTCTTTAAAAAGCCATTGAACAACACACGATCGAATCGACGGCAAATCAACGCACATGGGGAATCCCCAAATTGGTTGCATGAAATTTCGTAAACAGTTTAGACCAGCGGATAGGTACAGTATTTGAATTATAATTTTACCGTTCTTACTTAACGTAATTAAATTTACTACAGTTGTAGCCTATGTATTTCAATTAAATAAAATAATTGAATGATTGTGATAATGAGCTAGAAGTATTCGTTTCACTTTCTCACCATCATTATTCCACGTTCTGCATCCATACGTCTTCCTAGACACATGCACAGCATGCCAATGTTGTTTTGTTAGTGATCATTCTACATGGGAAAATATGTTTGAATAAAACATTACAAATATTTGTTTTGTCTTACCTGGGAGATGTATTTTAGGTATTTTTTACATCTCCCTGGTCTCACTTTTTCTTAATGATTAAATATCTTACAGAAAACACACGCTTATTATTTGTTGTTTACTTCTTGCTTCATAGCGCAGTACTTTGTAGAGTGGATCACGTGCTCTCCAAGCTTGGTCTTCCTATATGTTCTTTGCGATCGATCGGGGCTCTGCTCGACCCGACTAAAGACTATAACGATGTTGTTTTTGTTAGTGACGACGTGGGTAAATTTGTTTGAATGAAAACATTAAGATGTTATTTAATTTGTGATGATTGACTATCGTATAACAATACAGGTAGGCTTAGAAGAATATTGTCTTGGTTTCGTGGTAATTAAGTTTTAGCAAGGAAACCTCGCGTAGGCCTAGGCCTTGTATTTAGGTCAAGTGTGTTCATTCAACAAATGATTGAGTAAAATGAACATAAAATTTCCAGCTCATAATATCACTTTTATTTGAAAAGTTAACACAATGATTTAATAATATATTTAGTGATTAAACTACATAATGTGCTGTTGTAGAAAATTAAATTACGTTTAATAAAAAATAAAAAACAGAATTATAAATTAAGTAGTGCCGTGGTGAACTTGGGGGAATCCCCGCGGCTTGGAGGCCACGCAGCGCTGAAAATTCAAGTTTAAAATGTGACTGCGCATGCATTGTTTCATTTACGTAAATATATCGTTTACTGATTTGTTTACGGCGACGTAAATATATCCACTTCCTAATAAAAAATATATAAGTCAAGTAAACTAAGTTTTCTTTTATTTTGCTGGAATACAGCATATCTGTAAGTATAAGAAGTTATTGAATACGAAATGTATGAACCGAATAAGGACTAATAAAGCTATGGATATTGGTATCAGTAAATAATAATAAAAGAAACCAGTAGGCTTACCTGCCATATACCGAGACCAGAGACTTCTTAAGATTGGATTTAATTGTATGAAGATTGGGTAGAAATTTAAAAGAATTGTCCAGTTCGTTCCAAAGTTTAGGACCATTAAAAAAAACTAATTTTTTTTTTCTGAGAGAAGATATGTATTTTTCGGAAGTAACATTACACTTTGCAAATCTGGTTTTGTAGCTATGGACATCAGGTTGTTGTTAAGTAGACAGTGCAATTATATGTGATAGAAAGTACACTTTCGAAATAAATAAATTTAAAAATAAGAAAAAAAAACTAAGATTAAGAATAATTCAGTTGCAGGCGTACCTTGTTTAAGTATTGTACAATGCTAACAACGCGGATTTTTTTGTAGCCCTAGCTAGGTATCCATGTGCAAAGCAGTGGTGTTTGTTTATCATATGATCATAATATCATGGGTTTATCCATGAAAAAAGCACACCGGGAAAATGTTTGTCTTACCAGGAAGATGACGTAATCTAGCTTATGAGGTATTCATGCTAACTATAGCATATACATAGTAGGCGTAAATTCCCTTAATATGTAGGCCTACATACGAAATTTCACGTTACTTCCTCCAGTAGTTGCTAACTTAGCAAGTATACTTAGTAACTACCACTTCCTCCTGGCTCTGAGTTGTGCTTCGCACATGCCGCTGAGGGCGGCGTTCCGTGAACCCTACGTCTAGCAGGTACAACTGTATTTTTAGCATTTTAATTAGATGGAACAAGTAGATAATTCCAAGTTCCCTGTGTAAGGAGTTCAAAATTACCAACGTTCACCACACCAATGTAAAAGGTACAAGATGATATCATAGTGCCCGGCCGTATAGTGGAAGAACACGATGCTAAGTTGAACAGGTCTATGAAATAGCGGGAAAAATCCGGACAATTAATGGAGGAAGCCACAATATTGATCAATTTTGGGCGAATTTTGCACTACTATCCCTTGTGTTACTATTTACCTCTTAGAAAATTCCCATCGACTACTAAAACAATATCATCAACAGTCAAGCTTTGTTTTGATATACCGTCCACTTTTGCCTACTGTACTTTGTAGTAAGGGGTATTCCTGTACCCATCGATTTCAAAATTGATCGGCGAGGTATACCTGACGGCAATGTTTTCTGGTGTACATGTCCTCTTTGGTGAATAAACCGGGTGGATTCTTGGCTTATGTGCCTTCGCGTAATCTGCCTCTCCGCATTTGAAGTGTAGCAGTCCTAGTACCTGTGATCTTTCATCGTTATTGTACTTTCAGATTCAATTTATTTATACAACTTTTTATTTCTTTTAAGGGTGTTTAGAAAACCCAGATCTTGAAATCTCAGATCAGAGTTTTCTAGGTCTAGAAAACACGGATCTAAAATATCTAGTGCTGGTTTGTATACCGTACCATTATTAACAAGAGGCTTTAACCAAAAGAGGGGGTTACTGTAATTCATGAATGAACTTTATTGACTTTTGGCCCAACCAAAATTTCCAATATCAAATATCTGGAATTGGATCAAATAGAAAATTTAATCTTTAATACCATGTACTACATGAAAATCGGGTGCTTCTCATGGTTTCCGAGGGTTCAACGTTTATTATTTAATCTGTATTGTCATCATACCATCATATATTAATATTATTGTTAGAAAAAAAAACAGATCTGAATAGATTAAAATTTGATCTTTGATAAAATAAATGTATCTGACTGACTGAGTAATCAAGTTTCTGACTGGGAATGATCCCTTGACCACACAGCTTAACATACAGTAAATTTAAGTGCCAAACACTCTTAATTATAGCATGAGGTCTGCATTATCATGTGGGGTAGACAATCACCCAAGCTCAACAAGTCTACCAAAAGCAAGATTTATATAATATATAAATTAATCAATTCCGTGTAACTGATTAATTTATATAATATATACATTAATCAGTTACACGGAATGGGCCAAACAAACCCACAGCACCTAGGAGTACATTTTGCTGACATTTCTAATTACATCATATAGTCACCATCTACATCTAGAAAACTCAGATATCTGGTGATGATAATTGTAGTGATGGGGTGGTGACAATTAACGACGATGGCTATGACGTTGTAGGCCTACATGCACACGAGAGCTCTGGTAACGATAGTAGTAGCAAGGCAAGAATGGCTTATAACGAAAATAGTGACAACGAGCACAATGGGCAAACAACGGAATATGTTCATTCGTGGAAGAGTATATGGATATATGTTCAATGTTGTAAGTAAAGTTTGTTTGTGACTAAAGCTATAGGAGTGACACTTGTACGTAAAAATTACTTGTCAAACTAGGCCTATTACTACTACTAGATTTATCATTCAGTATTGTTAGAACGTTTCATCTGTTATAAATATTAATTCTCAATTTAAAATTAAACGAAAATAAAATTTGAATCCTACCCTTAGTAGTGAAACACAATAGCTACACAAGGGGAAATTCCTTCGGGTTTAATTGACATAATAATAATGGAAAAATAATGAAATTCAAGAGATTTTCTTGAGGTCATATAGTCACTATCAAAGAAAACGAATGCTTGACTGAACACCAAGCGTCAAGGGCTACCAGTATATTTCTGTGAGAGGTGCTACAGATCGTAAAGCATACATACAGTGGTGGTGGCAATTTTAGGCATGATCGACCAAAGTTCTAAAACAAACGTAGGCCCTATTACACTGCTAAAAATCATTAACTGATGGAATTAGGTACCGGTATGATTTTATATCAATCTTTTGGACATAATGGAATGTAATTGTTATGCTACCCTACCAGTTTAATTGTTTCAAGGTACCATAGTTAATAACCCAGATGTTTCGTATTTGCAAAACCTAATTTCTAGATCTGAATTTGATGTTATGATGAAAGTAAGCGAAGCCAGAAAGTTAAAAATACTCATTATCATTATAATTATTAAAAAGAATATTTCTATAAAAAAAATTTCAAAAAAAATGTATAAACAATGTAATAAGAGAAACGGAAAATTTTATAGGTGAAGGTAGAATGAACAAATGCACTGAAAGAAGCTGAGAAAGCAAAGATTTTAAAGAAATGTGGAAGCTTGATATACAATGTCATAAATGTTATTAAAAGGAAATGATATTCTTTGTACACAATTATGTTTATTTATACAGTAGTCTGTGTCAAACCTATCACCTAAATGAATGGATGGATGACTGAATGTTTGAATGGTTGAATGACTGCCTTTACCTGCTTATTTGATGCCGGGTTATATGGTGCTGTGCTAACATTTTTCTATCTCTACATACTCATGACTAGTAAATTTATTCCAATTGTTGACAGACCATGCTACGTACATTCATTTCAACTTTGATTTAGCCCGCTTGGGTTGAGCATCTACGACAATAAAAATCATTTTGCCATTGGTAACTGCATGCCGGCAATATTATGCTCTTTCTGGCCAGTGGATGCTTAAAAGCGCCGTTGTAGACCACACCAACCTGACTGGCTTGAAAACCCCATTATTTGCCGTTATCGGACACTGTCTCGAATTGTGATTGTGACTTTGTGTCCTTCTATCAATCTGCTATCGGTCACTTTAAGTAATTTTAGTGTCAGGAATATTAAAAATATAAACACTGAAGTATTTATTAATGACATTCATGTTTCACATTTCGGACGCAAATTTGCTGAATCATCCATTACACAAAATATGCAAAATTATATTCACTGTCTGTCAAATGAAAGTCTAGTCTTGACTTTCATGCACCTCCAAAAACACGCTTGGCTACTATTAGACCAAATACACCTTGGTACAACCAAAGGATAACTGAGGCTAAGCATGAACATCGAAGTTTAGAACGGATTTGGCGAAAATCTAGGCTTGAAGTTCATCGTGTGCGATATTACACACAGCGTGATAATGTCAACTAACACAAATCAGTCCTTCACGTCAGGGACAGTTCCTGAATATCTATATACAAATTCACCCTCTCCTAAAAAATAAGAGTCTCTACTCGGATGTCCTAAGTAATTATCGTCCAATATCTCACCTACCATTTTTGTCTAAGATTACTGAACGTATTGTTATTTCTAGAATATTGACATTCATAGAAAGTAACGGAATATTTGATGAGTTTTCAATCCGCATATCGCGTCCACCATGGTGTCGAGACTGCACTTTTAAAGGTACAAAATGACATACCTGTACTAACAGCCATGGATCAAGGTAAACTTGTCGCCCTTGTTCTCTTGTCTGCGGCCTTTGATACGATGGACCACTGCATTTTCATAAATAGGCTCCAAGAAGTTGGGTTTGATGGAACCATACTAAAGTGGTTTATATCTTACATTTTAGATTGAACACAGTGCGTAAAAATCAATGATAATTATTCTGCACCTTGTCGACTCTTGTTTTGAGTGCCACAATGAAGCGTGCCTGGTGACCCAGTGGCGTAACGCCTATGCGCGCTCTCATGCGGCGGTCCGCAGGGCCCCCGAATTCTAGGGGCCCCGAAGGGGCTCTACCCATAGGTTCCTCGATCTAGCACCCTGACCAAAAAGGACTTTGTTGATAAATAACACCATAATGTGTCTCTGAAATCGACTGTAGGGATATCATACGATTAACGGGGTCCCCCTCTCGGCCCGGGACCCCAGCAAGTTTGCCAAAAAAAAAATTAATAAATAAAAATGGAGATAAAAAGAAAATTACATTTACAGTTTTAAGTCTGTGAGTGCCATTTCCGTCTATCTAGACGTGCCATAATAATACATTTTCTTATCTCAGCCCCACAAGGGCAACAGCATAATGTGTGTTTGAAATCGACTGTAGGACATATTATATTATATCTAGTGGCGGAATAAAGATTGAGGGGGCGGGGAGCTGCCGGCCCGGGAGCCCCACTAAATTTGTCAAAATATTTCTTAGCTGGAGATAAAAAAAAAATATATATTCACAATTTTATGTCTGTGAATTGCCATTTCCGGCCATCTAAATGTGCCATATTCATAAATTTGCTTACCTCAGCCCCAACCATGGTGGGTCTGAGGTGGTATAGACAATATTATATCATTTATTCGTCGTTAAAAACATTTAGAATAACAATGCACATCTAAAATCCCACGATGGAATTGGTGACTGGGACCCAAAAAAGGGCCCCCAGTTTCAGAAATACACAGGGCCCCGGACCCCCATCGTTACGCCACTGGCCTGGTCCTCTCCTTTATCCATTTACTGTCGTCCCTTGGGTGATATATTTCGAAGACACGATCTGCAGTTTCACGCCTATGCCGACGATACTCAACATTACATTTCTTTTAAGCCCAATCTATCAGATGCAGACATTGAAATTCATCAATTAGAATTATGTATTGAAGAAATTCGCGAATGGATGGTCTCAAACTACTTAAAATTGAACGATCAAAAAACTGAGTTCATTGTCTTTGGGTCCAAGGCACAGCGTAAGACATTCCGTATGTCAAAATTGGTAGTTTACGGATAACTACGTCTCAAAAAGTACGCAACCTCGGCACAGTTCTCGATGCCGAGATGAATCTCAAAGACCACATTACTGGAATCTCAAATACTTCATTTTTCTACCTGCATAACATTAGGCGAATTAGGAAATACCTGACTGAAGGAGCTACAGAAAACTTAGTTCACGCATTTGTAACTTCACGTATCGATATGGGGAATTCACTCTTGTACGGACTTACTACTTTTCAAACCAATCGAGTCACCCGCTTACAAAACATTGCAGCAAGAATTATCAAACGTGTTAAACCTAGAGATCATATTACCCCCTTTTTAAAGCAATTACGTTTATCGGACGAAAACTGGTACTGCTGCAGCCTAGGCATCTCAAATCTACTTACACCGCTCAAAGGCGTCAGTGTCTACGATCAAACAAAAACAATGTGCTCTATGAACCAGCACACACAACAATTACTGGGGAAAACGTTCTTTTGCATCCGTTGCACCACGGAATCTGTTACCGGATAACATTTAAAAAAGTACTTCCCTCAGCACATATAAGAATCAGCTTAAGACGTTTTTGTTTACTTCATCCTTACGATAATTACACACTAAATAATCTTTAAATCTTTTTTCAACATTGCACTTTTAGGCATAGATTAAGTTTATTAATAATAATAATATCAACACAATAGCTTCAATTGGATTGGCATATCAATTAATCGGACAACATTAAGTGACGTCAGGTGGCAAGAAGTCTGGCAGGATGGGAGAGGTGGAGATGAGAACCTGTAGCTGAATGTATACCATCCATAATTATTTTCTTTATATTTTTGTTCATTGTAGATTTTATAACCATTGCATCTATATTGGGAACAGGAATTTTAGGTTTGTAATCATCTGAGCATTTTACAAAAAAAGAATATTTTACAACTGAAAGTCCAATCATACAGAATAACAATAATAATAATAATAATAATAATAATAATAATAATAATAATAATAATAATAATAATAATAATACAAGAAAAAAACTAACTAAACAGAACAAAAATCGAATAGAGAATAATAATACCGTTAAAATAATGTTGATTTCTATTATTGTGACGAAGCGTGAACTAACTTCATTATTTTGCGATTCAGTATACTTTCGGGCCTCCCTCGATCTGTCTCTAATTATTCCACACGTCTACTATTTTGGGCATAGACGTAAGGGGATACTGAATTGGTAATGATGGAAATCATGTTGATAATGATTATAATGTTGGTAAACGTGGCGATGGTCAATGTTATTTATTCATTAAATTTTTATTATTTACTCTTTCCGTGGCAGGTTTACCGGATACTGCTTGGCGGTCTGGCTTTACGCCATTCCTTACATCATTTCTTATTGATTATGTAATGCAGGTAAGCTATATATGAATTAGTTTTTTTTTAAATATTAGTACGGCTCCTATCTTCACACTGACAAATTAAATGATCGATTTCATAAAAATGAATTATTAAATAATTGATTGATATTTTTACATGAATTTTTATTGTTTTAGTAATAATTGGATTGTTCAGGTAATCAATTCAATTAATAGTAATTATTACTTCTTTGACGATTTCCATAGGCCCTTAGTATCCTCTTCTTTGTGGACTTATTGCAGAAAGCTCAAGTCTACCTGCTAAGTATTCAAGAGGTAAATTAATTGTTATTACTGTCGTCGCCGCCGCCGCCATCATTGCGTCACTGATTATCCGTTGCCATTATAACAAAGAAGATGAAGATCATTATCATCATTAAGGGCCCCAATGGAAATATGTTTTATATATTTTAAAACTTTCTTGGGTTACCCTAGAAATTGATGTCTTATCTTGTTCTTTATCATTTATCTGTTCTTTGTATACATTTGTTTTATATTCAAGTATTCCTAATCTATGATTTTAATTCCTGAATAAAATGAAATGAAATGAAATCATTATTAACCCCGTTATAAACAAAGTTGTATTTTTTTCTTAGCATCTAAAACAATATGATATTTTAGGTAAAAATATTGTTACTTATTTGGTTATAGAATAATCCTGAGTCGGTTCCACTAAATGAGATAAATAGTGAAGACGACCTGAATGATTGCCAAAATGAAACTTCTACAGATGGTAGCTATCTTTGATTTTCCTCCCAAAACTTTATACATTTTTTTCACTGTATTACAAACGTTCTATCCAATCTCCTTATTCCATGTTGTTGTGACATTGGCCTGCTTGATGTCCAAATGAAGTGTCGTCCTGTATCGACTGCACCAATCGGGCGCTTTCAGACAACAATGTACCCCAGCGCGGGCTTAGACCATAATATAGCAATACTGCAAAGCCAACATTGGCTGGGTTTGGATAAATCACAATCTCTTGTACGGTCATTTATGAGTGATCTTTCCTTGCTAAAAGCCAAGCTATTAGGCCAGAGCCTCCAATTGTGAAGTTGGCCTATATAATAAGAAGATGAAGAATATTACATATTTTAAAATTTATATTTATTTTAATACAATGCTGCAACACATAGTTTATAAAGGTTTATAAATGATCTTAGGCCTATATCACAGCTACCGATATAAGAAGGATTTAAAACAAGCATGTACTTTTTCTTACAGGCTCGGTCGAGTCAAGTGACGGTGAGTCCACTTTTTGACAATCTTATCCATAAACGTTTTTTTTTTTTCAAATTAATTATTATTGGTACTCGCATATAATTAGTTAGTTTTATATTATTACTTTTAGGCCACCTTGATTATTGGGCTGGATGGAATAACAAAGTTAATGCCTTATACCACTTTTCAGGCAATGGTATAGCTTTTGGGCCGGCATTATACTTTTCTAAGAGTACCTTTAAAATAGTAAGTGCTATACTGTAATAGTTCCATGCTGTAATGTAATATGTATATTACGTTATCATGGTTATTATTATTGTTAATAATATTAAACATTATTGTGTTAATGTGTTTTCTTTGTGTCTGTTGTTCTTCCGGTTTTAGACGTCTTACGCAATATTTGGTCAAGGAATCAAGAAAACTATAACAACCTACACCAATTATCCTTATTATACATGCATTATTATTTATGGATACCTTTTGATGCAACAGTGTTTTTACTGCTGTGAGCTAAGTATTGGTTTATTTGTATGTAGGCCTATCATAGGCAGATTCAAGGGGTGGGGGCCAGCAGGCCCACCCCCCCCCCTAATTTTTTCCAAAATTTATAAACAAGTTTGAAAAAAAGAAAATTCTACTCAAATTTTGAGTCAAAGAGTGCCATTTCCTGGCATCTAGTGTTGCCATAATCATAAAATTTCGTACCATGGTGGGACTGAGGTAGTATAGACCCTCCATCTGTAAAAGTCTCTCTTCGGGGCCAATTCCAATTCCTGGATCCGCCACTGCCATAATAATATAATTCCTGTAGAAGTACGGAGAGTGAAAATAAAGATTAAAATGCATGCCTTTATATATTGTATTGACGATGATAAAAAAATATTCAGAGAAATATACAAATTTGGCTGGAACAACGGAACTCTTACAGATCAGTCTTGGGCTCAAAAATGTCTTGGGACAGATATATATGGGGCTATATTTTTTAAATTAAACTTATTAAATTCCATATAGGCCTATTTAATAAAGTTTTCTTCTTTTCTTCAGAATGTCAGTTATTATAAGTTACTCTCTGGCAGGACCCCAAGCCTATGCACAGCTGCTCGGAATTCAGTAAGATGAAAGATTCTCTATTTATCATTGTTCAAAGTGTATACTGTATAGTAGGCGATTTTGGGCTATGATGGAGTGCGTCATCACTAATATTATTTGCGACAATGCTGTGTAAACAAAGGCGTTCGACCGCCGCAAAATATCCACTACCTCTATTTTTGATTTAAACACTTTTTTTTAAGATTTTAGGAGAATATTGTACAAAAAATCTTTTGATGATTTAAATAAAGTAAATTTAGACGAACATGAACAGGTTCAGAGTGCCCATTCCTGTTTCTTAAGCGTCGGGGCTAGCCTGTGCAATGCTGAGGTGATCACCACTCCTTCATACATTGAGTCTATTTAACTGCATATATGCCGGTACCCATTTATATTCCTTTGTAAAGAGACAAACGCAGATGAAGAGCCTTACTCAAGGACTTAAGTGACTTGCATAGATAGAGTTCAAACCCCTGAGTCTCAACCACTGCGCCATTAACGCTTCCACTGCCAAACGCTATCACTGATTTAATACCTCATAACAAATTTGAATGATAATTAAGGCTTCCATGATTCACTAAAATTATCCTGAGCAAAAAGTAACATCGAAAAGGGGGATTTTACAAGTGCATCATAATATCCTCTCTGGTTACAGAATATCTTTTCTTCATCTCTTTATACAGTAATAGGATAGTAACTTGTTTTGCTGTGTTTTTGGTTGTTGTTTTTATATATAGCATTCATTTTTAGTTTTATTATTTTTTATAGGAATTATGTTATCGTGATACCGTTCTTTGTCTGGATACTGGCCTTCAGTATCGCTGTCTTTGGCGATATAATCAAGGTCACAATATCTATTTTAACTCTCTTCAAATGTAGCTTACTCACAGCTGTGGTAGGTCTTAATTAATTGTAATTGTAGTAGCGGTGGACTATAT